TAGAGTCTTGTAAACCTAGATATCTTAAAATGAGTTAAGATATTCTACGAGTTATTTAATTGTTTTAAAGTGAGTCCAAACATTCTCAAGGCGGCTGTAGATATCTCAAAGTAAGGTTAAATATCTTAGTGTGAGATAAGATAATCCTAGAGTGGATTCAAGTGGCTTAAAATGAGTCCAAATAGATGTCTTAGAGGAGTTTACATATCTTTTGAGGAGTTTAGATGTCTTAGAGAAGTTTAGATATCTTTGAGGGAGTATTGATGTCTTAGAGGAAGTTTAGATATCTTTGAGGGAGTATTGATGTCTTAGAGGAAGTTTAGATATCTTTGAGGAGTAGATGTCTTAGAGGAAGCTTAGATATCTTTTGAGGAGTTTAGATGTCTTAGAGGAAGTTTAGATATCTTTTGAGGAGTTTAGATGTCTTAGAGGAAGTTTAGATATCTTTGAGGGAGTATTGATGTCTTAGAGGAAGTTTAGATATCTTTGAGGGAGTATTGATGTCTTAGAGGAAGTTTAGATATCTTTTGAGGAGTTTAGATGTCTTAGAGGAAGCTTAGATATCTTTTGAGGAGTTTAGATGTCTTAGAGGAAGTTTAGATATCTTTTGAGGAGTTTAGATGTCTTAGAGGAAGTTTAGATATCTTTGAGGGAGTATTGATGTCTTAGAGGAAGTTTAGATATCTTTGAGGGAGTATTGATGTCTTAGAGAAAGTTTAGATATCTTTTGAGGAGTTTAGATGTCTTAGAGGAAGCTTAGATATCTTTGAGGGAGTATTGATGTCTTAGACTAGAGAGAATTTAAAAATCACAAGAGTAAGTTCGGATGTCTTCAAGTGCATTTAGACATCTTAGTGAGTTTAGAAGTCGAAAAATGAGCTTTTAAACTTTAAAGAGTGAGTTAGTTAATGGAACGAATTTTTGGGTAATATGTGGCAATGATAAGTACTGAGAAACACACACACACACACACACACACACACACACAAATTGGGTCCTTTTGAATCTGTAAGCAATATAGTCATCTGACCCATCTCAGCTTTGAGTGTCAGAAAGCCTATTAATTTCTACACATGTCTTAACCTAACCTAACCTAACCTAACATAACCTAACCTGACCTGACCTAACCTAACCTGACCTGACCTGACCTAACTTAACTTAACCTGACCTAAACTAACCTATATATAGTTTATCACGGAAATATTAATCTCTCCCATTATAGGATAGGTCAAGTAGTTTTTCCACTGTATGGCGCTTTGTAAATACCGCCAACCGACACGACGGCTCTTCAGTACGCGGCTCCTTCAACATGTACACATTGACCAAGACAGAGTTATCAGGTGAAAATACCGAACTTGAGAAAACCTTTTAGAAATATATGTACAGAACAAGGACATTGAATGATAGTAATAAAATGTCTAAAATGAAAGCATAAGTGTGTGTTTGTTTTTTAATCTTTAATTATTAATCTTATCACGGTGGTACAAGTTACGTAACCTAACCTAAACTAACCTTATTGCCGTACAAGTTATGTAACCTGGGGTCCGAAAGACGTACCTATTATGATATTTCAATACCATATATACCGTATATACTGTACAGGATGATTCAGCAAAGATCACATTAAATTGGAGGATGACATCCTTGGGTAATTCTAAACCACAATGTCTCTATGGTAAAATGTCAGATTCTGCATGTGCCCACGTGTTCGTGACAGGTGCGAGCAAATTAAACATAGTCCAGGCATTCTGAAACGGGTCAGACAATCAATGGTACGACGTGTAGAGGCCTGCATTGAGGCAGAAGGGGGCAACTTTGAACATTTCCTTTAGGTTGTATCAAAGAGGGGTCACACTGTAGAGATCTGTGAATAAATGATTACAAAAACTTATTGAGGTTTCACTTCAAATTCACTCTCATTAATACAACATGTTAAATGTATTGTAACATGGAAACGATGCAGAAACTGACATTTTACCATAGAGACATTGTGATTTAGAATTACCCAAGGATTTCATCCTCCAATTTAATGTGATCTTTGCTGAATCATCCTGTACGTATAAATGAAAGTCTGTATAATATTTTGAGGGCAAAATTAGATCACTGTACTGCTAACGAGTAATATAACACTAATTATAAAAAGGTGTGTGAAAAAGGATTACGTTCAACCTAAAATTAAATACTAATTAAGAGGTAGAAACGGATCATCCCACAGGTAGAAGGACATCTCCAAATTTGCCCGTCTATATAAAATACTAATCCATTATATAGATGACTCTGTAGGGTCTTCACAGCCCCCGGCACCTTAGCGCACAAAAACAGTAAAACAACTATGAGGGAGTTTTATATAAGTGAATTTCATCGAAATTTTCTTTCATACAGCTGGTCTAGTTTATAAACTGCAAAAGCTCCTCCCTAGTCGTAAGTTTTATGTTAGGAAGTGTTGAGTAACTCATAAGGTGAAGTCAGTGTGCTTACATGTCACTGAGGGCGACCATTAAACCAGCTTAGTAATGTCCTCAGAGCGTGAGGAGTTAACTGTGTATGACTTATAGACTTAACTTCTACTTCCTCCAGCTGAGAAATAAATCAAACAAATGGTATTTTTGTTGTTGTCACTGACCAAGAGTCTGTTGTTCTGGCTTCATCGTCGTATAATGGTCTTCACTCCAGCATATTTCCGATAGGACCACAATATTTTTTTTCTTTTATCTCACATTTATGGTGAAAAACAAGTGAAATGCGATAAAATGGCAGCAGTGAGCAGGAGGTCGGCCGTATCAAGTCATTAGATCATGGGCTATATATTAGTGAGACGGCTACGGTTCTTCCTATTGTCCTGTGCTGCCCACGGACATCACGACTCCCTCCTGCTAGCTGAGTGGTAACGAAGCCACAACAATTATTTCCAGACACTACCCAGCTATTGCCATGAATGTGAAGGTAGGGAGAAGAGGTTATTCTACCTTTATTTAATACTATGCGTTAGTAAAAGCAGACCTTCCAACTCTCGTGAGACTTAAAGTAATTTGTCGTCCACAGTGTTTTACCGCATTGACCTCTGAAGATGCAAACTAACTACAGGATGCAACCAAGATTTTGTCGCTGTGGTGTGTTGAGATTGTTCCATACTGAAAATATTCTGGCCATGTGCTGTTCGGTCAAAACCTAATCGAACCAAACCAAATTTAACCCAACCTAATCTAACCTAACCTCACCTTTTATTCCGAGGGGGTAATCTCAGCACACCTCAAGCCATCTAGGATGTTTTGATGGCATTGCACATATCCAGAACATTTTCAACATTGTATACTCTCAACACGCCACACCCAGCTAGTAAAGGTTTTGTTGGCGCGCTATCACGGATAGTTTTGGAATCCTCAGAAAAACACTTGTGGTATTCATTATAAGGAATTCGTTTCATATTTCACTTTGAGTTCAGGGTGTTGTGATGTTCCAATTATCTCAGTATTTCCAGGTTCAACGAAGGAAATAGGAATAGTTGTCAAAAGTTGGTTCTATTTATCATTGTAATAAAGTCATCTAAGGACCACTGGCTACTCACCAGTGCTGTCAAAATCTCAACTGGTGATCGCGGTCTATCGTTTGTCTTTTTAGCGATAGACTGATAAGAAATCACTGACTACAAGTAAAACTATATTTCTCGGGGAGGTGAGGGCAGGCAAGAACTTCCAATTCTCACTGTTCTTGGACTTTTACTTTAAACTTCTCCGGATTGAAAGGTTGATAACACTGGATGGTCTGGACACGTGATGTTTGTATTTGCATACAGACTTATCGTGGTGGTGTTTTATGATGTATACCATAATATTATATCACAGACAGCGTGTAGGACAGTGTGTGTGATGCCTATATTTAATCTTGAACACTCGGTTGGCCCTCAGCGTCAACATAAGTGGTAGTTAGAGTATTATTTACACGAGAGGGTGTGTTAGTATATGTGTGTACAGTATACTGGAGAAGTATAACGCTGATGTAATGTGTTGCAGGTGTTGCTGGCGGCGCTGGCGGTGCTGGCCGTGGGGGTGACGGCTGAGCCACGCTTCGCCAGACCTGGAAGTAAGTCAGTCTCCCGCTCTCATCAGTAATAAGGTTCAGTCCGTTACAGTACCTTGTGAACACAACGTAAATATGACATTGTTTACGTTGACCAAAGTCTTTGTTGTGGTGTGTGGCAGTATAGTTCTGTGCAGGTAATAAAGACACAACTAAAGAGACTCAATAGAGGTGTTAAAGACAGACAATAATAAACCATGGGAGAGGAACCCAACAGGTCTCTTAGATAGACACTTGTATGTCAGAAGGCGCCGCGCCGTGTAGGTCGCTCTCAAAGGAACTGTTACCGGGGCTCTCGTATAGACTGCACAGTATATGTATGTTCTTCAGTTTAGTAACAAGCATTATGAGTAAGACCACCTCACCTGCGTCACCTCGACACAAGACAATATACTGTAGTACAAGTTGGAAAGTTTATCTTTAAATAAATAATAATAATAATAATATGACCAGCGTTGTTATCTATGAATTGCCAACTTTGTAAATAAACACTAGATCTTGTTGTTTCCACTACAAGCCTCTAAAAACTTCATTACTGAAACTCTAATCAAACATTGTCATTGTCAGGACAGGAAACAGCGAGTGAGCATTAACGGCACTAAGTCCCATTGGAGCAACGTCACAAGTGGAGTTCCCCAAGGCTCAGTACTTGGACCATTATTATTTATTATATAGATAAACGACATAGATATCGGCATAGACAGCAACATAAGTAAATTTGTTGATGACACTAAAATAGGACGTGTTATTAAATCTGACAGACTCGGCAAAACTACAGGAAGATCTAAACAAATTTTTCTAATGGTCTGAAAAATGGCAGATGAAATTCAACGTCGACAAATGTAAAGTACTCAGTATCGGAGATGTAAACAGGGAAACCAGATACCAGATGAACAACGATGCCATAGAGAAATCCGACTGCGAGAGAGATTTAGGAGTAATGATAAGTAGGAACCTTAAGCCAAGTAAACAATGTGTATTTGCTTGAAACAAGGCTAATAAAGTACTTGGGTTCATACAAAGGAGTGTTAGTTACAAGACTAGTGAGGTCATCCTAAAACTGTATCTTGCTCTTGTGAGACCTCACCTGGATTACGCAGTTCAGTTCTGGTCACCGTATTACAGAATGGATATAGAATCCTTGGAAAGAATTCAGAGGAGAATGACAAGACTAATCCCGGGCATTAGGAACCTTGAGTATAGAGACAGGTTAAAGAATCTCAATTTGCACTCTCTTGAGAGACGTAGAGCGAGGGGAGACCTGATAGAGGTGTATAAGTGGAAGTCAGGGCTAAACAAAGGGGACATTACAAAGGTACTCAAATTATCCAACCAGGAGCGAACTCGTAACAATGGTTTTAAATTAGACAAATTTAGATTTAGGCGTGAAATAGGTAAACACTGGTTTGGAAACAGAGTAGTGGATGAATGGAACAAGTTACCAAATATCATCATTAACTCGAATACGCTGAATTGCTTCAAACATAGGTTGGATGCTTATATGAGCAATAGGGGTTGGGTGTAAACGGGACTGCCCAGTATGGGCCAATAGGCCTGCTGCAGTTTCCTCCATTCTTATGTTCTTATGTTCTTATGTTAATTGTCTGTATTGTTTGATGCTACGTCCGACCCTGTCCGGCCACCTCATGACAGTCGCCATCTTACTGGTGGTTATGCCTGAACGTATAGATCCATTTCTGAACCCTTGAGAGTCATCGTTCCAGCCTGAGAATCATTTTTTTCCTGTCTTAAAATAATGGTAACAATTATCTTCCTTCAGATCACGAGCCTGCGAGATACACCTATGGAGAAAACGACCGCCAGGCAAGACGCGTCTGCTACTATGAGACCTGGGCCAAGTACCGCCCTGACGAGGTACATTATGATATTGAGGACATCCCTGCTGAACTGTGCACACATCTCATCTACACCTTCTGTGGTGTTTCTAACGTGACGTGGGAGGTTCTTGTCCTGGATCCTGAGGTGAGAGACTTTCCTCACAACACTGTACTGGTATGCGGTTCCATTATTACAGTAAATGTACTCCAACTTGACAGAAACTTTTGAAAGTATTACCAAGTGAAAACAGGTATGGGAGCATTTAACAAACACACCTTCATCACAGTTAAGTGATAATTTAAAGGCAGAATTTAACAAACCAAATAATACACCAACCGACACATGTGTGACCATCATCTCTCCTGTGGTTGTCCTTTACCAACATATTAGTAAAAAGTCAATAAAGTTCTCAGGTAATTGGTAACTGGGGAAGTAGGGCAGTTTATGAATAGTGTTACGTCTTGTCTGTGTGACGTGAGTATGTCAGACGTGTGCATAATATTCTTTATAACCCTAAAACATGCAAGATATTCACACTATTAAATCGGACAGTTTGTATTTTTCAATAACCATAATTACAGTGTATATCTTTAGTTCAGCGTCATCCTTGTGTTCTTGTAGCTGGACATCAACGAAAACGGGTACCGGCGCTTCGTGGGGCTCAAGGAGAATCATCCTCATTTGAAGACGATGATCGCTGTGGGTGGCTGGGCCGAGGGTGGCAAGAAGTACTCCCAGATGGTAGCCGTCGATGAGCGAAGACATACCTTCATCAGGAGTGTTGTTCGTAAGTCAAGCTGTGGGCGTAGCGAGGTGGACTTCACTTGTTAACAAAGTCAACTTTAAGAACAGTTAATACTTTAACTTGTGTTACTATAACTGTCAAGAATTAGACTACTTTAATTAATCACAGACACACTGCCTTCACAGAGCTGCTCACAGACTACGGCTTCGATGGTTTTGATCTGGACTGGGAGTACCCAGGAGCTACTGACCGTGGCGGTGCTTATGCCGACATGGAAAACTACTTGAAATTAGTAAGTTTTTCCGGCGTTTCTTACATATCTATACACACACATATACAGTACACACACACACACACACACAAATATATATATATATATATATATATATATATATATATATATATATATATATATATATATATATATATATATATATATATATATATATATATATATATATATATATATATATATATATATATGTACTTAGATTCTAAGTACAAGTAGGTCTCATGAGCCTAAAGGCCCGTTTTGGGCACTGTAGACACAGTACAATTCACTCTAAGTTTTGGTATCAAGGAAACACATAGTCTGCCACTTTCTTCTGCAGTCTTTCATTTATCCAAATGTACTTTCAGGTACATCTCCTTCTGCCACTTAAATACCTATACTGAAAGTTCTCATTCGATCTTGTAAACAATCCTACTAAATAGAAAACTTTCAATCTAGGTTAAGGAACTTCGTGAGGCCTTTGACGCAGTGGGCGCTGGATGGGACCTGACAGCAGCCGTGCCCGTGGCCAAGTTTAGGCTACAGGAAGGTTACCATGTTCCTGAGTTATGTAGGTCAGTCATATCTCCCACATGTTCACTTTACACCAACTTGTTAATATTCATTGTAGACGCTGATGCTAAGGTATGAGATTAACTCCAGTCTGTTCATGATATTTCAGTATACTGTATTTCTCGTGTAATACTGAAAGGATGTGAAACACGTTATTTTTTCTGCAGCCTGTTGGACGCCATCCATCTTATGACATACGACTTGAGAGGAAACTGGTGTGGCTTCGCTGACGTGCACTCCATGTTGTACCGGAGGCCAAAATTGGACGAATGGGGCTACGAAAAACTCAACGATGTAAGGCCACACCTCCTCACCACTTGTGCTGTTTGCAATAACATTAAGACAATGTTTAATTACCACTGGTCCAAACCTTATTGTATATATCTACCATAATCCAAAAGTGGGTACCAGAGCTGAGCAGGTGAAGGGAGGGGTGCATATGACTTGGGTAGGTTTATTCATCATTACCTTTCAAAATCTTGTATCAAATTTCATGTGTCTCTCATTTTTACTCCCGAGGGCTGAGGGAGAGGAGTAAAAGTGTAGATGATTATGTCAACAGCCTCCACATGCATCAGAGCCTCAATTTTCCTACCTTCAGGAGTTTTGTATAACGTAAGAAATTTCAAGGTTAAGAGCTCATCAGAGGTTCGAGGTGAGACGAGGTCCTACATCAACACAATTTTCTAACATAAGGTTTATTATTGTCACCTTAATGCTACGCTCACCTTCCTTGTATCGTTATATACCTGTTGTCACATAACCATCTTAGTAGATTCACAACAAAGATCAGGTATGAAAACAAGAAAGTGGCGCCACCTTCAGTCGTAATCTTTTTAACTCATTAACTCTACATTTCATGTTATTTTGGCCCTGGGAAGATCACTGTCAGGAGATGGGTCGTGGCCTCGATATTTCATGCTTATGCAATTTTCACAAAGTAATAACCTGTTGCTAGCAAGGAGGAGGAAGGGAAGCTGGAGAAGAGGAGGAAGGGGGGGATAGGTAGGGGTAGGAGGAGGCTGGGGAGCAGGAGGAGGAGGCTGGGTAGGTGTAGTGTGTGATTGTCAGTATACTGTAACTAGTAGCAGTGTTCTTTGATACACTGGTCCTCGCATGAGTCAGGTGACGGCAAATTATATATCAATCTTGCACACACACGATTTTAGTCAGCTGAACGAATTTTATAAGTACGTTTGTCTTTGTGTGTGTGTGTGTGTGTGTAGGAGCGGAGTAAGTTGTTTACGCCAGTGTTGTTGTTTTAGGTGCTTCAACTACCAGGGTAATTAAATATTGAACATAAGTTTTAGTCTCTTCTCTCAGGAGGGTACTTAAAACATTTAGTTGGGCACAAAGCCATTTCGTTCTCACTGTCTTCAATAACTCTTAATGATATTTAACTACAGAACAGCTACACTGTAGGTCAGAAATTATCCAGATGTAGAGTAAATAGTTACATTCAAGATACTTCCTGCACACTGAATTATTTACTTCATGTTCATTGCTGCGCATTATATCCTGTGTCGTGCTATCCCCTACAGAACGACGGCGTCCTTCTATGGAAAGACATGGGTTGTCCCGTTGACAAGCTAGTGCTGGGTACTCCCTTCTATGGCCGCACCTACACCCTTGGCAGTACCAGCAACAACGGCCTCCACGCCCCCATCAAGAAATGGGAAGGAGGTGGCAAACCAGGACCTTACACCAACGCCACCGGTACCATGGCTTACTTCGAGGTAACAATTCGTCAATGCCACAATGATATTTTGCTTAATATTCCTACATTAGTTTTCACAATGGAGCGACAGTTAGTATGTGAGTCAGCTTGATTATATCACTAAATACGTTTTAACTCTCTTCTCCTTCAGATCTGTAAGATGATGCTTGATGACTCAACCTGGGAGGACCGCTACGATGATATTGGCCTCGTCCCCTACACAACCAAAGGTGACACAACAATCTCTCATAATCACACTTTAATTGTTAAGTAAGAACTGTCTTAAACCTCGAAAGTGACTGTCGTAGAAAAGTCCAAAAAAGAATTTGAGGGTTCTCTTGTGTCATACGAGTGTGCACCCTAAGGACTTCAGTTCTTGGTCGTGCTGGAGCCTTGTGTTGACACTTCGTGGTTCTGAAGGGTACCCTCAGCGACGGCCATCACCAAGCTGCTTAATATAAGTATTTTGGTTTATAAAATATTTAAACTCTTGTGGTGTGGATTGAAGTTATCAAGGATTATGCACAATACATTATGGATTATATTATGTAGTGACAAGTTGCAGCTTAATGGTATCATTATACCGACAGACGACCAATGGGTTGGATATGAGGACCCTGAAAGTCTCAAGATTAAGATGGACTACATTAAGGAAATGGGTCTCCTGGGAGCCATGACGTGGGCCGTCGACCAAGACGACTACATTGGTTGGTGCAACCAGGGCAAAAACCCAATGATGAAGTAAGTTATCCCCCGTAAAACTGTGTCTTTATTAGTACTATATTTCTTTCAATATAACTATGTATTTTGTTATTGTGTCACAACGTGTCATCATTCAGGGAGTAGAGAAAGTAGACTCCATATTCAAACCACATTATAATGATCCATGTAAGGCCATTTACTGCATTTCACTCTCAACTAGTTATACTAAACACACACACATACACACACACACACACACATATAAGAACAGCACCATCCCATCTATTGTTAAAATAATAAACAGCTCCTGATTTATGTACTGTACAGCCCTGTAAATATATTGAACGTATATTATTATGTCTAAATCACATGTAAGTTTGTATATTTTCAGCCACCGGCTGCAACTCTATTAATAAACCGTTTATTATTATTATTATTACACAGACACACACACACACACACACACACACACACACACACACACACACACACACACACACACACACACACACTTGTGACACGACTCATCTACTTCTTTAGGCGAGGAACAACTGCAGCAACTCACAAGGTATAATGCTGACAGGTGTTTTCTTGGATTACTTTACAGTGTCATCTATGAGGGCATGAAGGACTATATCGTACCTGTGGCGCCAACAACTACCTCCACCACCACGGTGAGTCTCCCCCAACACCTCCACCATGTACAGTGATGAGCAGATCTTTAGACAGAAATGGTTACCCTCTTGTGGCCTTTCTTAATTAGCTTCTAATCTCTTTTATATTCCTAATACTTATAAGTTTAGGGTGATACCTATTGGCTTTCATTACTTTATGGGGATTTGTTCACTGGTTCACGCTGACGAATGTTGAAAACTAAATTTTAAATTGTTTTGTAGAGCGGATGGTGGACCCCATCCACCACCACTAGGGACCCCAACGCTCCCACCACCACTACCACCACCAGGGACCCCAACGCCCCCACCACCACCATGGGCCCCATAGACTGTTCTAAGCAACAATATTGGCCTCATCCTGACTGTGATAAGGTAAGTTCTCCCTCACTCTCTAAGGTACTACCTGGCTCATGCTATGTATTGTACCTCTGACATCAATTACTATTGTTTCTTCTTGTGTTTTAATCCGTGCGGCAGTACTCATTAGTATTTAGTAATGTATATACTGTGTGTAGTGACGGAGGCCATGTGTGTTACAGTACTACTGGTGTATCGACAATGTGCCCACCCTGGAGCAGTGTCCCGCCGGCACTTACTGGAGCCAGCCCATCTTGCAGTGCGACTGGCCACAGAACGTCGACACTTCCAACTGCAACCTCCCTACAGTAAAAGCCAAGCCCGCTCCTACTCATCCCAGGAACAGGAAACTTAGTCCCAAAGCAGCAGCTGCCCGGGTCCCACCTTTAGTGAAGAAGGTGCGGAACGAACCTTAAGAGTTCGGTGAATCGAGGTGTCTAGTAACTGCTTGTTTATAACTATTAGATGAAATTTAAGACGGAGTATTATGCAGGTTATATAATATCCAAAGTTAAATGTGTTTCCTATGAAATCTATACAGTAAATATATTCTACAACTAAAGCTGATATTCTTCACTTTAAATCCTGTCATAAATTAAATATAAACAAGTTCATCTACTATAAGCGGTTTTCATTCTCCTTATGTTATGTCTGTCATTCCTAATGACTGTGGTAATTCTGACAGTAGTGTGGTGGAGTTTAGCCACACAGCCCACATACATATATCTGAGTGTCAGTTACCAAAAAGTTTCCTTTGTCCCAGGATCAAAATCTGGAGACCTGACAGAGTTTTCACAATTTCACTCCAAAGTTATACACCGTTTGAAATATCACACGAAAATTGATTTATTTAACGGTTACAAAGTGAATTGTTCAAAGTAATCTATGAGCTAAATAAACATCAATCATGTGCGTGGATGTACAGTATTATGTAGCGACAACCCGACAGGAATACCAATGATAAAACCACAAATTACCTAACTAGCCATTCGAGCGATTGGTCTGTCTATGGGTGCTACAAAACATCGCAAAACATGATCCACAGTTTATGATGGAAGCTGATAGATGGCAGTACAGCGCCACACTTGACCACAATAAATGAGAGAGGAAGGTTACGGGTTAAGTTTACTAATATAGTAACCAGACATCGGGATGGAATTTCTCTCGAAGATTTTATTGTTATTAAATAAAATTCACAGATGTTTAGTGTTAGTAAAGTAAAAAAAAAAGTCACATCTGCAGGTAAACGTTCGTGAAACCTGTTAAAATATCAGTTAATTAAGTGAACTGGTTTTGTTAAAAAGTTGACAAGTTGGTAAGCCATTCACAAGTAAAACAATAATGTTCAGGTTCTATTGTCTACACTAATATCTGCTAGTATGTTTTGTTGAGCTGCGGTTCTGTCGACGCCATCTACTAGCAAGCCTTTGTCGTGTTCTGTTGTCGTCACCATCTATCAAAGCCTTTGTAATATTTTGAGGGTAAAATTAGATCAATATGCTGTTAACAAGTAATTTAACGCAGGTAGAGACGGGTTTCCTTTATCATGCTAGAGAGGTAAAGTACCGTCTCTGCTGAGGTTAAGTGGTAGTTAAGGTGTCTGGTCGAGCGGTCCCCAGGTTTCTCACTCAGTTGACTTCAAGGTTCATGGTGAACTAGGGATAAAGTACAAGTCTGATGACAGTTTGTACAAGGTGAATGCTCTAAGCCAGCTGGTGACTAACTAACTTTAACTAACACCTCGGGACATGCGCCAGGGCATGTACTCAATCTCAGTCCTACAGACCACATTTTGTGACAACTCAGGTGTTCAAGTTTTCTTTTTTAAAATTTCGAACGGTTGAGTCTGCTACTTAATCAGGAAGCAACATCCAGACGGGAAGCCTATCCATGTTTAAAAAACCTTCGGTTACTCGTAGAGCATTTGGCGCCATGGAGTCGGTAAACATCCTACGAAATATCAATAATCCTATAAAATTGGTAGTTAAAGAAGCTAGTAATGACCTGTTCTTAGATAAAGTAAACTAATTAAGAAAACTACCGACTCTGGGCATCTTACAAATTGGACTCATCAATTCAATTTCAATTTCAGTATTTTATTCCTTGATAGAGGAAGTGGTTTTTAGTTTAACAAATTTATTGACAAAGCTTGGAGTACAGTTTGCCTATTCTGAGTAATTCAGTCAGGTCTTGACACTGAGGGTGGTATCACTTCTCACTGCCACGCAGGACAGAGGTTCATACACAAAAAAATACAACATATTCATTAACAGTATATATAGGTCAGATTCCTGTGGGTTGATGTCGCTGGAAGTGGGATCCGAGTGCTGTCACTCGGTACCCCTGTACAATAACACCGGGAGCATCTGGCAAGTGTCACAAGTATATATAGTTATAAATATTATGAAGGGGCTTTTTAAAGCCTAAGGGAGGAAGGATTTTCCTTTAACACATCATCAATATTATTTACATAATATCTGGGCAGTATGGGGAGGATCATCTTGTCTCCGTCAGGGGGTCGTGGAGTGGTGGTCCAGCAGGCGTCACGGAAGCGTTGTGTGTGGGGACATCTTAGGAGGTAGTGGACAAGGGTGCGGCTGTCGGGTCTTCTGCAAAATGCACATTGGACTCATCTTACAAGGTTAAGTTAGTGTGCTTACATGTTACTAAGGGCGACCATTAAACCAGCTCAATAATGTCCTCAAAACAGAGTGTGAGGATTTAACTCACTTATAGACTTAACTTCTACTTCTTCGAACCTGTTAAATATTTTTTTGACAATTCCGTGATGTTAAACTATTTTCTCCCTCGTGTACCACACAACTGTGGCAGTAGGCAGTAGGCAGCTATCAAACAGGGAGGTACTACCGCCTGGGAAGATATTGGAAGCATAATGTATTGTCTAATGGTAGACCCTGCTGCCATATGGAATCACAAAACTTGTGACCAAGTCCCAGGCTACTGATCTGACTTTCTGCCTCACTTATACACAATTTCAGGGTCTCAATTATTTCTCTTACACTGACAACACAACATACATATATTGTTTCTCACTCTTGATCTTTTTTCATTATTATTATTATTATTATTATTATTATTATTATTATTATTACTATTATTTTATTTTCAATTTTGTACTTTTATTAAAAAAATATTTACTATGAACTATTATAATAATAATAATAATAATAATAATAATAATAATAATAATAATAATAATAATAATAATAATAATAATAATAATAATAATAATAATTATTATTATTATTATTATTATTATTATTATTATTATTATTATTATTATTATTATTATTATTATTATTACATTTTGGCCCCCGAGGCCCCGATGTGGGTCAGTGACCTGTGTCCGGGTGGGCTAATCCCTGTAAAAAAAAATCGAAGGACAGTTCACGGTGAGTTTAGTCAGACTCAGTCACTAGGGACGCAACAATCATTCACAAACTCCCCAACTGAAGGAGCTTGATTGTTACTTAGCATCCAGGCTATGGAATGGAGTTAACTAGTTTTTTATAATCTATTGTCAAATTGTTTATATATTTGAGAGAATAATTTTGTTGCTACTTTTTACTTTCATTACTTGAGTACTTTATGAATGAGATGATTTTTTTTATTTCTACTTGAATACATTGATTGAACTTTGGATACTTTTGCTTCTACTTGGGTAACATTTTACCAATGTAACAATACTTTTACTTAAGTAACAAAGTCCGGTACTTTTTACAACTCTGATTGTAGTATATGGATTTAGTTGCTGAGCACCCCACTAGAGGTCACGGTCTCAAGCTGACGGGTGGCGAAAAGATAATGTAAGGAAGCTAACAGATTGATTGACCTCCCTTGCGTACACAGTTGACAAACATGGTTCAGGATTTAAATGACTGTACTGTTCATGCTAGGGGCGGATCCAGGAATATCAAAAGGGGGTCCAAAAAGCTGTGGGTGGGGGAACATGGCGAGCACAGTGAGCACAGCCAGCTAAGGGGCTTAGGGGGCGAGGTGTAAGGGCACTCGACTGAGTAGTGCCCTTTGAGATGTTTATAAGCTAGGCAATTGCAGGCGTTCTAATCTCTCAGGGTAGCTGAGGTGCCGAAGTGCAGGTGCCAGTCGGGTTTCCCACCTTAGGACGGGGTAACAATACTCCAGACGGGGAAGCACCTCGCTCTTGAAGATCGTTATAAGGGACGGTCTAGATATCTGAACAACCTTCTTATAAGACCTAATAATTTAGTTTCTTGGTTCACCTTCTTCTCACAATGGCCCGAGGACTTCAGTTCATTGTCAACATACACACCTAGGTCCTTTTCGCATTCAGTCTCAATTAATGCAGTTTCCTCGTCCTGTTGAGACATGTAATACGCCTCCTTACCGTTGGTACGCCCTAGGTGCATCCTCTTACACTTCGTGACATTGAATTTTAGCAGTCATTTCTTCGACCATTCTTGAAGCTCACAGAGATTTTTATACAGCTCTTCACAGTCTGTTTGGTTCTTAATTTCCAGAAATGACCTGGCATCGTCCGCAAACATTTGTATGGAGGAATGTACAGCGTCAGGCATGTCATTTATGAAGTAAAGAAACAACAGCGGGCCCATTACACTGCCCTGTGGTACCCCGCTTGTCACGGGTACACATAACGATTTCGTGCCATTAATCACCACACACTGCTTGCAATCATGGAGAAAGTCTCCGATTCACGATGGGACACTTCCCGAATCCCGTACCCTTCCAGTTTAATTTTTAGCCTTTCATGGGTACGCTGTCGAAAGCCTTGGCAAAATCTAAGTATATATTGTCGATATTGCCACCTTGTTCCTGAATTCGGGTCCAAAACATCCAGTATCTTGAGTACTGTCACCCCGTCTGGTCCCCGAGATATGCTAGGGACTGTCAGTTGGTTGAAAATGTTCAAAGGAGGGCCACCAGACTGGTGCCTGCACTTTTGCACCTCAGCTACCCTGAGAGATTGAACTTGCCTAGCTTATGTTACAGAAGGGCAAGGGGTGACCTAGTTGATGTGTATAAGCATCTCAGGGGGCACTACTCAGTCGAGTGTCCTTACTTGGAGCTGGCGGACGCTCGCCCTACAAGGGGTCACAGCTCAAGATTGAAGAAGCCGTAAGTCCAGAAAACTGTGAGGGCAAACTTTTTCGGAGTGAGTGTTGTAAACTCTTGTTGCAATCTACCAGAGAGTGTTGTGACGGCACCGAGTGTGAGCTCTTTCAAGACAAGACTTAACCAACATTGGAGCGGGTTCAGGTACATTCAGGAGCCGGTGCATGCCCAGTATTTGCCAACAGTGCGTGATAGAGACGTGACCGATCGCCCGGGCGGCTAGCGAGCCGATCAGTGGCGAAAAGGATAAAAGTAAATTGTGTTAGGCAAGAGCGCCCCGGCATAAAACCGTGTTGATAATCCTTTACAAGGTTGTTTCGTAGTAGATGTTCCATCATGGTATCTCTTATAATGCTCTCAAGTACTTTACATACTATGCTGGTCAGGCTCACCGGTCTATAGTTGTTCGTGGAGTGACGATCGCCCTTCTTGAAGATAGGACTCACATCAGCCATTTTCCAATCACTGGGGACCTTTTGTTCATTCAGGTATTTACAGAACAGGATCTTCAGGGGCTCAGCAAGCTTGTTGCACAACTCTCTTAGCACTCTGAGATGCACCAAGTCAGGGCCGGGACTTTTTTGAACCTTTAGCTTGGACAATTTATTTTTTATAACCTCTTCTGTAAACACAATGTGGGTCAGTGCTGTGTCGAACCGTCTGTCCTCAAACACAGGAAGATTGTTCGCATCCTTTCTTGAGAACACCGAGGAAAAGAAGCTGTTCAATGCCTCAGCTTCATCCTGGTCAGAATCTGCGTAACTTCCATCTTCAAGCCTCAAGTCTGATACTCCTACTCGCGTTTTTAATTTCGACTTTGCGTAGCGGTAAAACGCCTTTGGGTTTGACTTGACCTCGCTTGCAACCAGCCTCTAGAACTCATTTTCAGCCCTCCTACACTCTGACTTTGCTTGGTTCCTGGATCTGGCGTACATCCTCCTGCCGACCGCCGCATGGGTCATGTGTAGTGGTCTCCTTGTATTCCAAGAGACATTGGGTTTGGTCTTGGGTATATATTTATCGATCAAATGGTTCATTTTAATAGCTTTGATATTCAGTGTAGTGTCTGCGTTCTTATACCTTGCAGTGCCGGATCAACCATGAGGCACTTGAGGCACTGGACTCAGGCCCCCCGACTCTAAGGGGCCCCAAATCCAAACATTCTCGAAGTTGAAGCGTATAAAACATGAACTTCGTTCAACGATGTCCTAGCAACGTCTCAACTTTCTGTCTCTTGTGAACATTAAATGTGTTATTTTGTAGAAGCTTAATATTGATGAAATCATTGATAAATTTGGGTATATTTTGTTCTTTTTATTTATATATACCTTGAGGGTAGGGGGTCCTAAGTTGATCTGTGCCTCAGGCCCCCATTAAGCTTAATCCGGCCCTGCCTTAGTGAGTCAGGCCAGTGGATACCCCTCATCTCCCCCTTCATCCCATCGTAATTTCCCTTGTAATATTTGAACCTTAGCCTCGTTTTGTCGTGAACCAAGTAACAGTTAAATCTGAAGGACAACGTTACGTGGTGGCTGGCGCCAACGGGGCGAGGTGTTCCAGCAAGCTACCCTACCCTCCTCGTTTGTTCTGATAAGGTCCTGTGGCTTGGGTGTTTGCCTCTCTCTGTAATGAGCCGGGTCTTTAACATGTTGGAACAGAAAATTATCTATCAGAGTTCCTCCAAAAAGAGTAGCCTAGTGTTTGTTTTGTCTTTTCTCGAAGACCAGAGCATTTGTAGAGATGGCTGAGGAGTGCTCGTATTTTGCCTAAAAGTAAATTATGTTTATTTTATATATTGCTAAAAATAATGAGATCGGTATCTTGGGTACAATGCGTGTAATATACGCGGGTCTGCTCAATACTATTTACATATTTTAATTAATTCCGTCATTGTTTATACGGAATTCTTAAAAATGAATTTTCTTAATTTTCTGAACAATGTTTGAGTATAGCAATTTTTCAATACTTTCACAATACGTTTTAAACTTCAAATAACCAAGTACCATAGTTGTTTAGGCTAGGGAGGGAAGACGCTACTTTTAAAATTCGCGCCCAAAGTCTATGGTCAAATAACATCTATACTATGTTCTTCATCACCACATAAAATATAGTTTGAGTACATAGTATGAAGATAACTTAATTTTAAGTTTAAAAATATATATAAATTAATGTAAATATACTTGAAACCTAGAGATTAATGAATTCTATTTTATTATACATTAAATTTTCCTTTGTCTGTTTTCATCGAGCGGGCGGAAAAGGACGCCATTTGCACCCTTCAACATGGAGAGTAATACAAGTGAAGAGTAAGAATTATATTTATGTATTAATTTATTAGTCTAAAGCTTTGTAATACTGTAGATGGACTTGTTAACCAGAAAAGTTGAATTTGAATAGTGTAGTTTGATAGTAAGTAATTAATATTATGAAGCCCGGAGTTATGAAGAGTAGCTTGGGTTAGCCGGGCGTGAAACCAATTAATTGTCAACCGTTTGTCTTGTAACTTTAAGTATGGATTTTAGTTTAAGTATATAATATTTTAAGACCGTTGTATTATTTTAATGTGTATGTTTAGTGTAGCTGTGGGTGGAGAGTATAGTGATGGCGGCGCGTGGTGGCAGCATCGCCTCGCCCACCACGTTATCACCGGAATGCTTTACATACAGTATTTGTGTCATTGCTTTAGATATCCGTTTACTTTATTGGTAAATTTTCAAATGACAAAGAAATATTCCTCAAAACTACAAAGAAATGCCCGTATTATTAAAAGTTTTATGAGGGTCGCCACTTATTGTAACGTGGTCGCGGGTTTTATCTTGATTTATAATATCTGTTAGGGTGTTGTTAACCTGGTGGAAGCAAAGAAACTAAGTGTAACATAGAGAATAACTCGTTATATCTTGGTTGACGGCAGAAACTGGAGAATAACATTATCTTGATTGCTGACAAACTTGGATATGCCATGAGGGACGAGGCATGTCACAGTAGAAGTTTAGGGCTCACTTCAATTCACTGGTCTGCTTTATTCTTTATATAACTCCCATGTGTCCTTCACCGGATTTGTTTCTTATGCATTACAACAAACGAGCTGGTGAAGGTACCATCAAAAAGTAAGGGAATGGCTGTAGAGTTACAGATAGTGCTTCTGCACTACCTATGGCAACACAGCATTGCTACTTTATATCTTGAGTGAAGGTTAAGGAAACAATTCCATTTATTTTTGCATTTAGTTTTGTTAGGTGGAAGAGCAGAGAATAAATGGTTGTTGTTAAATATGTCTGTGCCAGCTTCTTTAATTTTGTATAAAGACATCTCTTAGGCTCTCCTCATAATAGTTGTTACTCATTTTTGGCGTCTTTGTTATGTTTTGTGTTACTTCACAGAATGAGAGTCTAGTGGGGAAACAATGAAAAAGCAACTTGGAATGTACTCTACTTGAAGCAGTAAGTCATAGCCTCACCTTCAGTGCTTCTGTGAATTCACAGAAACTTAGCTTGATTTTAATTGGAGTAAGCCTTGGAATGGTAAATACTCAAATTTAGCTGTATTTAATAGTTCATTTTTGCTAAAATTCAGTGATGTGTTTTATATGCCATTGCTGCTTTGGTGATTTCAGAAGAAGTCTTTCACTTCTACCCCTCTGGATTTACATTCCATGTTTTAGAATTTATTGAAAACACCCAAGAAAATAATAAAATTTTAAGGAAGAGCCAGATTATATTAAATGAATGGTTAACCTTCATTTACAAAGGTGTACAGTATTTCCTATGATTATTCTACAGTACAGTTTAATATTTTTAAGGCATTGGTTATTTGTCCAGTCACTGACCTTTACTACTATTTTCTGGCATTTGTTCCAATTTATTGAGGCTGTTGAGGCTGATCCTAGATTATTGAATTTGGTCACATTCAGAGCCAACCAAACCTAACCATGTTTGCAAGTGACCAATTTCAGTACAGTAATCAAGAGTCAATGTCATTAGTCTCAATCAGTTGTGAATGCCAGACAAATAGTGGAAGAACGCTAAAAGTGTGTGACATTTTCTTATAAGATATACTGTACTGTAACTTAATGTAAATAGACATGCAACCCTGAAAATAATAGACATTAATGATTGTAACACAAGGTGTGGTAATTGATGATGATTAGGATTACTTTAACAAGCATAATCAATGACTATTATAGCTTGTGGTTGCACTATATCTGGACAGGCATTCTGGGAATATGTGACCTTTTCAGAGTAGATGAACTGGGAACCTAGGTCTTGATGAAATGGGAATTTGGTGGTAGATAAAATGGGAGCAGGTGGAGTGGGAATAAACTGGAATTATTTTAGTTTTGGTCATCCGAGGGGGGGGGGGGTGTATAGTTCCGGGGTTCTGTGGCAAGGTTAGATTACTTTGGATATCTAATACAGGGATGACTGAAACCAAAATTTTACCAGTAAACTAACCAGATTACATGAAGTAACCTAATTAAAACAACAGGCTAAGACTGCTAGGTTTCATATACAGTGTGTTATAGATCTTGAATAAACAAATTGGTGTCCCCCCTCTCCCCAGGTGATGTAATAGTTGTGTGCAACTTTTGCTAAAGAGTATAATACTAGACTAATTTTTATAAACAAATTAAAACTATTCATTCACTTGAAATGTGTTTACAATTCTCTTGTGGTGTCATTACACAACATTTACAAGGAGTTTAATTAGATGTCATTAATTGTGTAAACTGCAAATGTATTGTAGAAAAGAAAAAGAAAGTTTGAAATCTCATGAAACATAACTCAAGAACCAACCAAACCTAATGTGACCTGTCTAGACCTAATCACTAAAGCTTAGTTGACTTCATTAGTGAATATCAGACATTTAGCCTTCATCATCCACCACATTTGTCTTCCTCTGCAGTCACATTCACATTTCTGGGAACAGAAGTAAAGATGCAGTCGAACATTAACAAGATGAGACTGCAGAGCCTCGCAGAACCGTTTCCCAGAAAATAAGTTTGAACTTATTGAACTTTTTTTTGCCTAAGTTAAAGTTTTATTTGAATATATATACAGTAACTTTTATAAAATTGTTGCAGAATTACTAAAAGTTTCTAATGAAAAAAGGGCAGGCATTAGAAAAACAAACTTGACCCTAGCATGAAGTTCATTATAGTACTTAAGAATAACAAGTGCCCAATGAGCGGTTGATGTGTGACATGTGAGAGACTGACTTCAAATCATATATGAAAGGTAACATGAACTATGCCTTTCAAGCCCAATGGTCATAGGTTAAATTATAATTAGATTGTAGGTCAATTTGGTTCATGTTCTCATTAAAAGTGGTGTAATGTCATAGTTACTTCATTTAAATTAACACTTGAATTTTTATATAACCATCTTGCACATTAGTCTGCCCCTTTTGTCTAAAATAAGAAACGGACAATTCTGCAAAGAATTTTAAAGAATAGTTGTTCTACTGGTCCTTGTGACAGCTTTTCCTTTAATGTTGGGCAAATATTATAGTACGTGTTCATAAAGCATGATGGCTCCTGCTTAAGAAAATTGTCATGCAGGTTACTTGACAAAAAGGAAATATTACCCCATCGTCTTTCTCGGTACTGTGCCTAGTTTATACATAACATACCAAGCTGCCACCACACCTAGAGATGACCATGGCATTGGAAGGCCATTGTTGGTTTTTCCCCATTACAGTAATATACTCTTTACCGTATTTTTTCATTTTACTGATCTTGAGTGAAAGTTAAATTAAACCTTCACCTCCTATTGAATGACTGAACTTCACTGTCACGGATGACCATACCTTTTATCTGGACCTTTAAATTCAGTATCAACCACAAAAAGATTATGCCACAGTTTTCAGTGTGCAAGGTGATAAATGGTTCCAGCATATCTTTACTTTACTTGTAATATGCATAATTATATAATACTTTACTGTATTTCTTAAAATACTGATTGGTCACTTTCTCATCATACTTGGGATTTTTGTAAGCAAACGACACAGTTGATTTAAGATAGTGTAATGGCTTTTGATCAGTGAGGTAACTCAACTCCCTGGATCCTATGTACATAATGGTAGGTAACAGTTACAACCTTGCAGTACGTGAAGTCCCCCTGAAAATTGGGGGGCAACATGTCCCTAATGCATGATAAAACTATAGGCAGTCCTTGAATTTCATTAGTACAGCTCCTCCCCGACTTATGACCACCCACACTTACGACCTGCCTCAGTCGTACCAAAATTTTGTCAAATTACGTATTTTTGAGTCCCAACGTCAGTGATTGCGCTGTGTACTGACAAAATTTTCGTTTGTAATTCACTTTAAAGTGGCTGGCAAGCTTAAAAGTGAGAGTTTTGTGGTGCTGAGAAGAAAAAGAGACACCCATTTTATATTTTATATGTATTATTTAAGCATTTTCGACTTACGACCTGGATTTGGGTCCCTAACCCTGTCATAAGTCGGGGAGGAGCTGTCCTGTATTTTTTACTAAATGACCATGTGAGTTCAGAAGAATGCATGTTTTAAGTAATAAAGTCTTTCTCTCTATTAAGGTGTATTGTCATGTTTTCTTCACATGTTGCCATGTGATTTAGACAAATTTTCTACATATTCTAGGATCATTAACTCAACACACACTGGGAAACTTCAAATATAGGTTGGAGAGATGTATGAGCAATATGTGTTGGGTGTAAACAGGGCTGAATTGTATGAACCAATAGACCTGCTGCAGTTTCCTCCATTATGTTCTTAACACTTGTCTGTTTCATTATCTTAAACCAATTTGCTTTTCCAGTTCTCAGTGTTTTTGTTGATGATTTCGGTGAGGGAGATGTTGCTTTTCTAGTACATTACAGTATCCTCGCATGATTCACTGTCGTAGGCCTCAAAATCTTCATCTTCTATCCTGTTTGAAGCCAGACATCTTTACGTTGGTTACTATTATCACCTATTTCATATTATTTTCTGTAATTTTCTGATACTGTGTTCTACATATGTATAATTTCATAAAATTCCCAGTCGTATTTCTTCAGGACCAGGGCACTCACTGATGTGTAAAGCCTATGGTAATGGTATAGTTTAGCAGTACACTATTAGCTTATTCATTAAATAGGCAAAATCTTTTACAGTGCTGTACTAAATTTATCCATATTCATTATCGAGTTGGTCTCCCGAAACATCTTTAATGTACTGTACTTCATCTCATATTCCTACTGCTTTGAATTAAATTGATAACTTTGGGAGGCTTTCATATACAGTACAGTATATCGTTATTCATTTCTGGTTGGAGGTCATTTGCAC